AACCCTAACCCTAACCCTAACCCTAACCCTAACCCTAACCCTAACCCTAACCCTAACCCTAACCCTAACCCTAACCCTAACCCTAACCCTAACCCTAACCCTAACCCTAACCCTAACCCTAACCCTAACCCTAACCCTAACCCTAACCCTAACCCTAACCCTAACCCTATGCTAAGTTTAGCTGAAACGCTTACTAACATCTATTCCTATACAATGATGTCATTTGGATGCACCCGTAGAGGCGTCTCCCGCCTCTCTACAGACATCCGATGGTACTCCACCTTGAAACTATTTTGGTCCTGAAGAGTATATATACGAAACAGGTTGGCCTGGGGAGATCCCCCAGCCCTGTTGACCAAGTTTCAACTCCTCTTCTCTTTACGCTTACCCTCCTCGCTTCGCTCGTCGGGCAAGCTACCACCCTAACCCAGACCTGAACGATCTCCCCTGTCTGAGGATCGATCCTCTTGCGGTCGAAAAAATGGTTGACGTCCTTACTCGACGCCTTGGGCTTCTTCGGAGGCTGAGCGAGAAGGTCAACCGAAGCGGAGCGGGAGCTGGCAGCGTCAACTGAACTAGCACGAGGTTGGCTAGCACGAGCCAGAGGCTCTGGGTCTGGCCGAGGCTTAATCTCTGGGAGGGAGGGACTAGGCCCGTCAGCTTCTGCGTCCGATTCTGGAATATCAGGGAGGGGGATGATCTCTCCCAGGCCTTCCTGGTCTGCTCGCGTCTGAGGGGCTCGACGCTTCTTGGTTTTTGCTCGCTTTGGTGGTTTGGAAGGAGGGAGTTCCGAGCCAGCCGGGGAAGATGACATGGGCGACGACTGCTCCGATGAAACAGAGCTGGGTGGCCCGGCCAAATTACGAGTTTCGACAGAGGTTCTACGAGCCTTTGAAGCCATGGGATCGATGTTGCATTGCATCTTCTATACTACGAGCTAATATACTAGCAGACGAATAATCAAATGTAGAGATGGAAATAAAACATACCCAAATAACAAACCAAGTCTGAGACGAACCCTTGACATCTCGGCGGCGAATACGAGGTATAACTTTGGCTGAGGGAAAGGGTTTGATGCTCTCAACTTGAACCATGGACGATGTTTTTTCGGCTCAGATATCGCGGCGGGTATTAGGGTTTCGACGTCATACGTTCAAGCGTTATCTCTGCTACTGCTCACGAAGAACTAATATTAGTATAGTGATTCTAAACTACGTAAATAGTCCTACTAACATTCCGACGAAGGTTACAGCCCTCCGCCGCGCTACGTGCGTCTTACCCTTGCCGTGTAGATCACAGGTCATCGAAACGATAAGAATGACGCACCTTCGAGGCTTCGACCGTCCGTCATGCACGACTGTAGGGTCTTGAGAAGCGGTCGCGGCAAAATGAAGATTAGAAAGCGAATGAGAACTTACAACATGTGTAGTTCATAGGTTTTGCCTCCCCTTTGACGCACTATGACCCGACTGCTTCTGCTCGCCCCCGTGGGCTTGTTTATCCATATACACCGCGCCCGTTTTAATTCATTTGCTTGTCATTCGGAAGTTCATCCTATGTAGACGTACATCTATCTGCTTGTAATGTTTCTGATATATATATTCCCTTTTTCTCTACTTTCGTCGGTCGACAGTATCACTTTGGACCTGTTCCCAAACGAACGCGTTCATGACGGCGTGCGCGTGGCAACTCCAGCAAAATGATATCATGCCGATGGTGCCGGCTGTGACCATTGTGATAAAACCGTGACTATCACTTGTTTTACAGTGAAGAAAAGTCACTGCGTTTAGGGCTCGATGAGCCATGAGAAACCAAGCCGGGCTAGCCGCGGCTTGCCTCGGTCAGCCGGACCTGATCGAAGGCTTCATGTAGGCGAAGCTCCTCGATTCGGGTTCGTTCCGGCTACCGAACGCGAGCTCGTCTCCTCACGTTGTATGTTTAGTCGACCTCCCGCATGTACACGGAGCCGTTCCCGCTTTGCAATAGACCAGCTACCTTTTGCTCACTAGACGATCTCAGCCGTGAGTGTCCGAGGCGATCTACAGAGAGTGAACTAGGTAAGTGTTCTCATGACTTCTACTTGACCTCGACTGCCCTCCTTTAGCTCGCGAGGGCGAACGAGCAAGCACCCCATGTACTTGTAGTCTCAGCAGATATCTTCGCTCTCCATTGCCCACCTCTCTCCCTCTTCCCTCGACGACACCCTTACCCCGACGACACCCTTACCCCGACAACGCCTCCCCCCACCCACCCACGTCCTCGCTCTCCTGCTCTCTCCTTGCTCTCGTTTCGACGTGTGCGCGTGCATGTCTCGGGTACGTGCCAACCGTACCAGTAGCCCCTCATATCCACTCACCTAGCCACAGGATATTCGTACCCGCAACACTGTCGAGTGCCCATGCTCCTCCTGCCGGCAAGCTCGAGATGAAGGCCGAGGGTTTCTTGTCCCACCCGGTACCCGGGACGAGCACGTTCGAGAAGAGAACCTAAGGTCGGCCTCGTCTATTCACAACCGAGGCCGAGCTGCCCCTCGACGGTCACTGCATACACCCTCCCTGGTCGCTCAGCGTGGACGAGCGTCGTCGTCGAGGCCCAGCACCAGCATCACCCGGCCGAGGAGTTCTGCTCCGTCTGCAGGTCAGGCACCCAGTCAGCCTCAAGTCGTAGCACCATCTCGCTCGTGAGTTCCTCATTTACCCCTGGTTTTGTAAAACAGCCGTTTCGGGGGCGATCGGATAATAATCCGAGGCAACCCGATCGCTGAGAGCAACGATGAGCACCGCGTCTCGGCTAAAAGCGCATCAACGATGCGGAAATTAGCCGAACGACGTCGACGATGGTCATCCCCGATGCGGAACCACCCCTATTTCGCGTTTTTCGCTCGCGCTAACTATGTTCTTTGTTAGAACACCTGCAAGCCTCCCAGCGGGCTCTTACGACAATGACAACGACTACATGGATATCAGACCAGACCATCCCCCCTCATCTCCACCACATCACCCTCCTGCCGCAAGGTCCATCTCGTCGCCAACGTTTGCTTCATCAACCACCTCCTCAACAACAGTCCCCTGCCTCTCACACACGTTCTCGTCTCGTCGAGAGCAACAGGCGGGCGTTGAGCCTCCGCCAGGCACAGCATCGTCCTCAGCTCACATACCCATATTAGCGTCATCATCCTCGGCCCGTGTCGCACCTCCGTCGTCATCTTCAGCCCTCACACCTGCACCCCTGCCATCATCCCGATCCAAACGGCTCCGTCGTAAAGCACGAGTCCGTGCTGCTCCAATTGAACGAGAAGACGACTCGGATGCTCCACCAGTCTCCAAGGTAGCTCCTCATCACTGCGATGCAGATGAGCTGGGACTCTACGACAACTCAGATGGAGGTGAGGAGATACACAACAACCCGCTCCTTCACACCCAGGAAGTCGAGGAGGAGGAGGAGGAGAGGCTTGTTATACGTCTTCCGGCGGCAGCACCATGAGCCGAGGACTTGGAGCTATCCACACCAGACCGTTACGAGGCACCAATTCCCCCGTAAACCGCATACACTAGCACGCACGATACATGGTATGGTTGCCTCATCATATTCCTCGTCGCCTTTCTTCACACCAGGCACTGAGTCTCGTTCCGAGCGTGCGCACTGATCCTCCAAAGCTGTAACATTATCCTCACTGCTCTCGGACTTATTGATCGCGACGTCAATCCTCTTATCCTCACCCTCAACACCACGATTAAGAGATTGGACCTTGAAGACCGGTTTGGCGTCTATCCGATGTGCCTGAGCTGCCACCGCATTTTCTCGCCATCCATTTCAATCAAATCTATATGTCCTGGATGGATGCGACGAGAGGTTATACAGGCCAGTTTCCAATTCTATATTCCGTATGGTGACTGGACGCTCAGCAAAACCTCCCCCGCCTATCTGTGCTGCACCTTTGCAACTCCCCTCCTCCCTCCTCGCCGACTTTCTCGCACAGCCTGGGATTGAGACGACGTGCGAGTCGTGGAAGGCCCGTACTCCTGAGAATGGACAACTCCACGACATCAGTGACGGACGTATATGGAATGAGGCAAAGATGCCCAACGGTACAGATCCGTTCTTCTCGCGAGTGGATGACTCAAATGAGCTGCGGATTGGTGTGACAATGAGCCTTGATTGGTACGTCTTTCAGTTTCTTCCCCTGCCAGCCTACTCATGTGGTATATTAGGTTTGGCCGCAAGACTAGCGTTTACGGCCCAAGCCATTCATCAGGAGTACTATCTTTCCGTGTTTCTAACCTTCCACGAGTGTTACGGCAAGTTGTTTCACCTCATGCTGATGTCTGCATGCTTACTCCAAGGTCAGTTATCAGGCCGAAAACCTCCTTGTTTCATTTATGACACCAGGCCCTCGTGAGCCAACCGCCGAACAGCTACAGCACTATCTGAAGCTTGTTGTTGACGACCTCATCAGGCTCTTTGAAGATGGGGTTGTATACCACACCCCGGATCATCCCAACGGTAAGTCGTATCAAATGTTATTGTATTTTAATGTTGATTGAGATTTACAGGTCGACGTGTGCGCGTTTACCTCCTTGGCATCATCTGCGATCACCCTGCCATGTGCAAAGTGTCTGGGTTTGCTGACCACAGCCACGGTAATGCGCCCTGTCCCAAGTGCACAGTTTCACAGACCGAGTTGTACTCCGATAACTCACTGGCCAACAGTAAGTAAGATTAGCCATATATTTCCCACTTGACGCTGAGTCGTATTACCAGCCTTTCCACCTCGCACTGGATTGGAACATTGTCACCATGCTTTCAAGTACAACTTGAAATCGCTTGACGACCAAGATACACGTGATGAGTACTTTCACAGGCGTGGTGTCAGGTGGTCCGAATTTGCCCGACTCCCTTACTTTGACCTTGTTCGTCAGTCCGTAATAGACCCGATGCATAATTTGCTGCTCGGTACGTCACTAATCTATCTCTTCCTATTGCTGCTGATGAGCTCATTAGGTGTTGTTAAATCTCAATGGTACGAGCGATGGATAAAAATGTCAGCTCTTCGGGCTTCAACTACTAATAAAGCCCGGGAGCTTGATCTTATTCATAAGTTTCTCTCAAAGGTACGCTGCTCTATCTTTTATCAAGTACATTCCCCACTCATATCTAATAGTTCGAGGTCCCTCTCTGGGCAGGAAAGCTGCCTGCACGCGTCGGCGAGCCAGCTGGGGGCTCGCTGACAGCAGATGAGTATAAGTTTGCTGCAACCTCTGCATTGCCCATTCTTGTGCGTATCTTATCATTTCCATGGGCAACGCATAGTTATGTCTGTCTAGATACCCATTATCTGGGACATTTCCCTTGCTGAGGCTGAGGGCGAACATCGTACGTCGGTCACATCATATCCCAGCCGGCTTCAAAAGTACGAGACGGAGCTTGCCAAGTGGAAACTACTCCATCCTGAGCCGACAAATACATCTACTGGCAAGAAGGGAAAGCGGAAGAAAGGGGATGGGGAGCCAAGAAAACCAAAGCCTCCGAAGCTGTGTATGCAGGTTGACGAGCCCATAAACTTTCTCCGGCTAGCTAATGCACTTAGAATATTCTGCGGCAGCTCTATTCATCCCGATCACCTGCCTCGTGCCAATGCCCTCGTCCACAATTATCTTGTCAACTTCAAAAGAGTGTGTATAGGTTTTATCAACAGTTATCATCTAACCTTATCATTCGTCACATAGCTGTATGGTGTCGACGCTCTCAGACCAAACTTTCACTGGGCGGTTCACCTCTCTGAGCAGATACTCGATTATGGGCCCGTGTATAACTTCTGGGCGTTCCTGTCTGAACGTCTCAATAAACTCCTCAAGAGCTCAAATGCCAATATTGGACAGGCGGCCAGGTGGAGATCTCAATGATGCGAGAGTTTGCGCGAGCGGCTCGTGTTGAATCAATGGTATGTACCCTAGTTCTTGTCACTTCCATCTGCAATCTCATGTATTGCAGGCTCGCATTGTGATACACGATAGCCCCAACAATCACGTGAAAAATGTCATGGAGCTGTTAGTCCATCAGAATGCCGAGGGCGGCACTCTACAAGACGCTCTTGTATCTGACGGTGAGCCGCATATGTGTCATGCAAAATCCATGTCTAAATCTTGTGTCAGAACTCTCAAACCGTTCGCCATGTGCAGCCTGGCCCTCTCATTGGTAATTCTACAAAGCGGATGAACAATGGGACACGGGTCTATATGCGTGACTACTACAACAATGCTGCCAGCCGTGCTGGGGCCCCCGTCACATTCCGTTTATCCTTGCAGACTAATGCTGCCACAGATGCCATCCTGTTGACTGACTACGCCTTCTTTTATCAGCATGCACTTCTCAATGGCCGACGCATCATACCCATCTCATCTAGCCGTCGTCAGACAGCAAACTCGGCAATTGTCAAGGTAATCGTAACAGAGGGAGCAGCCCCACTTTACGGTGAGGTCCTCGCCATCTTCTCACACGAGCAACAAGGAGTTCCACCCGAGTTGCATCACCGCCTCTTCGCTGAGTTTCGCTGGATGAAGGAGTCTGAGTTCTTGCCTGTCGAGGGTGATCCATGGCATCAGTTGTACGTCTCCAGGTTTCATCTTGCGTCTGCCATAACTACCTACGCGTTGAACAGCCACGAGCTTGACGTC